TCGGAAGGAATTGACCAATCACAGTTCATTATTCGACTTACGACATCCAATGTAAACCCAGCCTTACTGACTTTACTGGCGTGCGAAAAACGCAGCACCAGTAATTTTCATTGCTACCAACTATACTGTTTTCACTGGCAGTAACTAAATCCATTTTCGAACACATCCCAAATGTAGACCCAGCCTTACTGACTTTACTGGCGTGCGAAAAACGCAGCACCAGTAATTTTCATTGCTACCAACTATACTGTTTTCACTGGCAGTAACTAAATCCATTTTCGAACACATCCATAGTTGCATACATGAGCTGCTTTCGCGAGAAGATCAAAATGATCCGGATTAAAATGACCCTGTGCTATAATTGGTCAAATCTGGAATTTCATTGAATAAAATTTCAATGTGATGCTATGAAATTTCAGATTTGACCAATCATAGCACAGGGTCATTTTAATCCGGATCATTTTGATCCTCTCACGAAAGCAGCCCTGGAGAATGTATAAGGCTGAAATCACATGGTGCAGAATAGAGCTGCGGAATAGAACGTGCGTCATAGAAGCAACCAATCAGAGCCAGACATTTCCGTCACTCGTTGATACGGCAAGCTCTGATTGCCTGTTTCTATAACGCACTCTCTATTCCGTACTCCTATTCTGCATCATGTGATTTCAGCCTAAAGCCTCCGCTACAATGATTCTCGGTTCTGTCTACAATGGTCGTAGTCGTAGAATCGTAGAGTCATGGATTGGGTCGTATCGATGTATAACTGAAACAGATTTTCTGTTTTTGAGGTATTTTCCCACGATATATTCGACATATAATGACACACGACATATAACACTATTCTCTGATTGGTCCGTCGCGGCAATAAACGCAGTCGTGGTCGTTGGAATAGGAATTGAACCTATTCGAGCGACTACGACTACGACTGCTCAAGCGACCATCAATACAACTGTACGACCATTGTAGACAGAACCGAGAATCATTGTAGCGGAGACTTAATGCGGAGTCTACAATGAGAGTAGCAGAGTCGTAGTCGTAAGAATAATCGACTGCAATTGGTCAATTTCGTCAGACACAATTAACTGTTGAGTGAGCGCTCAATGATTTCTTAATATGATTGGCTGGATCTAAAAGTATTAACCAATCATACTGAACGCTCACTCAACAGTTGTGTCTGCTGAACGCGGCCATTGGCTGTGTTCTCCAGAAGTTAGCGCTTAATAAGCGCTTTATGCTGATTGGATAGATCTAGAAGAATAGCTCTATTTCAACACAGATCTGAAAGTATAATCCAATGAACGCAAAGCGCTTAGCAAGCGCTAACTTCTGCTGGACACAGGCATTGTCTCTTTTGCGGCTGAAATGACGTCACGTGAATCGCGTCAAAAAAGTCGAAGTTCACCGATTTTGAAAGAGAGGGAAATCAATTGAATAATTACCACTTTATAAAACTGGCGCGAATTGACGAAAATGGCGGACCAATCGCAAGCGCCTCCTTATGGCCGGACTCTGATTGGAGGCGGGCAGGCGTGCCGCGGGCGGGTGCCCGATGAGTTTCGGAACGGATCGGGCGGATGACGTGAGTCGCCTGGAGTCGCCCGTCGTCGTCTCTCTAATGTCGGTGGTCCGCGGACGCCCGTGATTAGCATCTGACAACTGTCAAATGGCAATTGCACTTGTGCGCTTGTGATCGACGTTCGCGCGGTTGAGAAATGGCAGCGGAGATAAAGCCCGCCCCGGGGGTGAACCACGATAAATTCAGCAGCAGCCGCAAGCCGGTCCTCCTCTCGAAATTGGAGAGCTGCAGCGACGACGTTAACGCGGCTATCATCATCCCGCGGGAAGAGGGTGTAATCAGTGTTAGCGATGACAGGTACGTACCGAGATCGTACAGATATGTATTCGTCTGAGACCGCGATATTCTCGACCACATTGATATTTTTCCAAAAGGGCGCCCGCTATTCCACCCCCCCCCCCGTATCAACGTTATTGCGTCTATTAATTATTCTCCCCGTCACTTTCGACTACGATCCTCTGTGGAGGTCCTTGTTTTCGTTGTGACAACTTTTTGACTACGTGGACACACCTTGAACCCTTATCATTTTATTTTATCATCCGTGCGTAAGTGTATGTGTGTGTGTGTGTGTGTATGTGCGAGTATGTGCGCGCGCTTTGCTCCTCCCTTCTGTCTTTTTTTATATATGTGTGTATATACACATATATATATGTATGGTATCGAATAACCTTAACTGGCCCAAGTTTAATATATAGAGGAAAGTGCTCTATTACGAGATAGGATCCTAATATGGGGTAGCAGAATTGATTCCACCATGAATTTATAGCCCTTGGAGCGAAATCTGTTTAGTGGAAAATTTATTGTTAGATCGTGCAATCGTTGCGAAAGAAGATTTGTGATGAAATTTGAGTGTTGAAAACCTGCCCTCTCTTATTACAAACCTATCTCATAATAGAGAACTTCCTTCTATTAATAGTGAGACATCTCGACCATTGGTTTTGGTCCTTTTCGAGCATGATCTTAAAAAATGTACGTGTAAAAGTTCTAAGACGGTCATTACAGTAAAATCGAAACAAGAGTACACGAGTCACAATGTCAAAAGAGAAAACGCAGGATTGGAAGACCGGAGCGTGATCATTATTGTTACATTAATTGCATAATACACTTTCAAGATGTAACGCTTGCAACTGCGACTTTCAATTTGAAATCACATGTCGTACGCTTTCTCTCTGACTTTGTTTCTTTTATAGGACAGTCAGAGTATGGCTGAAGCGGGACTCTGGCCAGTACTGGCCGAGTATCTGCCAATACATGCCGGCGGGGACTACCTCTATGCATTATTGCGTAGAAACGAGGCAACTGTTCATAGGCCTGGATAACGGAAGCATTAACGTATGTCGAGTCACCTTTGTTCTGTTCGTCGTTGGGATTGTACGTGACTGGGGTATCGCTTGGCTTCTCCATTGCAGGAATTTGTCTTGGAGCAAGATTACAATCGAATGACAGCTATGCGTGACTATCTGGCACATCAGGCGAGAGTCACGGGGATTATTTTCGCAGCGAACTTCGAATGGGTCTTGAGTATAGGCCGCGACAAGTTATTTCAATTGCACAGCTCCGAGACGGGACAGAAATTGGGATCGTACCAGACAGACGCGTGGTACACCGCTCTACAGTATCCTTTTGCAAAGTCTTACGCGCTTCTTGCGTAACCGAGAGTGGCTTTTGCGGAACGTACCCGCGATACGTTCCGCGAGAAACTTAACTCGCATACCCGCGCGTGCACAGATTCGACGCCCAGTCCAAGCACGCCTTCGTGGGCGACTACTCCGGTCAGATAGCCATGCTGAAGCTGGACAACAGCGGCGTTACCTTCATCACGACGTTGAAGGCACACACGGGCAGTATCCACGCGTTGGCATGGGACACTGAAAAACAGTTGTTGTTCTCCGGCAGTTTCGATCAGAGCATCATCGTCTGGGACATCGGGGGTCGCCAGGGCACCGCTTACGAGCTTCAGGGTCACCAGTAAGCGCACGCGCGCCAAATTCTTTGAAAATTTTAAAATTATCTTCAAGACACCCTGTAAAAACAAGAGAAACGTTCTCCCTTTCAGTAATAAAGTGACGGCGTTGTGCTACGCGAGCGGCGAACGCCAGCTCTTGTCCGGAGGCGAGGATGGCGTGATCGTCTGTTGGAACATGGTGGCGAATAGGAAGGAGACCGCGGCCTGGGTCGAGTCCGACATCTGCCAGGTACGCTCGAGAGGCTCTTCGATATTTACGAATACCGGCGTCGCGGCACGTGCTCTAAAATCAATGAAATTTCCAGGCTTGCGGGAGACCCTTTTTCTGGAATATAAAGGCCATGATGGATCAACGACAATTGGGATTGAGGCAGCATCACTGTCGCTATTGCGGTCGCGCGTTGTGCGCGCGTTGCACGTCGCAACGGATACCAATACCAGCGATGGGCTTCGAGTTCGAAGTGAGAGTCTGTGATCAGTGTCACATACAGCTCAAGTCGGAGAAGTAAGTTGACGTTTCCGCCTAAGACGCAGCGAGACCCGAATAAAGCTGGACCCCCCCCCCCCCCGCCACTATCGCCAATTTAGGTAAAAATAAAATTAGTGCTGTTTATGTGCTCATTTGTTGCTTTAGTCCGGATTTTATTGCTCAAATTGTTTAGCAGGAAATCCGTATTTGAAGCAACAAAATCTTTCATTTAGTTACAAGTTGTCAAAGTCACTCGCCTCGTTGCCTCGACCGCGGAGATACACTATTAAGTATTTGCAACTTAGATCGAGCAACAAATTCGGTCTGTGGTATTTTTCGAAAGACCATTGTTTATAGAACATGTTGGTATCAAACGTATGCGAGCAACAAATTCTTTTCGTCGTTTTACAGCCTCTTGTGTCGTTAGTTATCACGTTGAAATATTTAATATGTAGTGGTAGCGTTTAAACAATGTTAATTTCCAAAATGTTTTAGCGCTATCTTGTAGCAACAAATTCTGGCGTAGTCGGTTTTTCCAATAGGGGCACTCTTATGGCCGATTTTTTCACTTCCCGATAAAATTATCCGGAGGTTAATCTCAAGTTTTAGCCAATCACGTGCATGGATCTGGTAGTTTATCTCCTGGTTAACTTTAACCGCAACATAACTGGATGTGAAGAAATCGGGCATTAGTCGTTTTTTTTTCAGTATGGGGGGTCCTACTTTATCTATTGTAAACTGGACCCCCCTCCACTTCAAGTACGATTTCCTGCTGAACGGTTTGAGCAATAAAATCCAGACTAAAGTAACAAATTAGCACATAAACAGCACTAATTTTTTTTTAACCCAAATTGGCGATAGTGGAGGGTCCAGCTTTAGAGGGGTCGCAACGAGTAACTGCGAAACGAGCGTGATAAATATTTGCCTTTGGTTTTACGCAGCCAAACATCGCTGGCCTCTTTCCACGATGCCAAGCACAGTGTCGTCGGGATGGACCTGGACGCTCCTAGGCGAAGATTGTTGACCATCGGCCAAGATCGCATTATTAAGATTTGGGATGTATCCGCGCTCTTTCAGTGAATCGCCCCGCGTATGTATGTCGATAATTCAAACTGATGCGAATCAAATCACAGAGGTATCGTCATACTCGGAAAAATACTCTAGAACCTATTTTTGTGATTATGTAATTATGCCTGTCTGTGAGTTGGTGACTAGGTAATCCGTGAGTTGGCCCGACGAACTAACGAGACACGGAGATCGCGAGCGATCGTTTGTCGGTGATAACGCTAGAGCCTGCTTAATCCATATCCATATTTTTTGCATTAAATGTCGGAATAGCTGGAGAGGCGACGAGCACGTTAATTCAGTGGCATTGTCTTTAAATCGTGTTGTAACGATAAAACTACTTCCAGAGAAGCGTTCGTGCATCTGCACAACGTGATTACGCGAAATAATAGTAAATGGATATATGTATTCGAGGTGCATTGACTCTTTTCGGGCTCGAGAGACCAGGGTGACAACACTGGCAATCACTACGCGACACAACGCAACGTAGGATATAATTAAAAAAAGTATCGAAGTAACTTTCGGGAGTGCAATTGAATTTCTTTTTACACACTTGCGTATAAGTCGAATATGATGTCGAGATGGAAACCTCTTAAATATTCAAAAACTCTCGATGCGATCCCCGAGTTTTCTCGAAATTTGCAAGATTAGGTGCACACACGTTACACGTAGCAAATTGAGGGGTCCACATCTGAATCGCCATTTTGCAACTTTATATACTGCTATTGATCATCCATAGTATACATTTTGTTACTAAAACGTAGTACTCAGAGTCTCTTTAAAGTATCCTTACTTTAAATACATTTCCGAAAAACGGTCAAGCGTTGACTTGACGGCAGTGGTACAAGCATCGACTACTTTAACACGTTTTATCTAATATAGAAGATATAGAAACAAGGGAAGATATTTTCAGAAGTTCCAATTTCTTTTCTACATTACTTCCTACATTATTAAACTATTAGTAATTTGAATATATATATATACCTTCAGCTAGACTATCTCTCTGAATCGACTCGGTGAAGTAGCGATATGTATCTCGTACCAAGTCCTAGTCCTATTTGTTATATAATTCATGCGGGATTGTTTAATATTATTATTACATTGTCTTACAAAAGAGCGCGAACCAGGCAAGAGAGTATCCATCGTAATAATAATGCTGGTTATTCTCTTGACTACATGAGTCTTCTCAAGTACAATAAATAGGTACAAGCTATGCAAAGCTGATTTGTCCCAAACTTAACGATCTCTTGTACATTCTACATCGTATATATTTACTTTCTGGAATGCGAAAGAAGAGCGCGAGAAATAGAGGCAATTGTCATGTTTCCTAGGTATTTTCGTAGTGTATCTTGCTGGCTGATGAAAGCTCGCAACGACGAAACGGTTGAGAGTGTTGGCGACGACGAGCTTTCATCGGACTTTACGTGCTGAAGAGATTCGTAGATGGACAAGATGTAGTAGAATGTAGTAGAAAAACAAACCTGCTTTCACGTAAACGCCACGAAAATGCAAAATCGTTTTTGTTCGGCTCACCCTCGCGCGAGTAAATGTATATACACCAAAAAAATGCATATCTTGTACCTGAATATACGTACGTAATAATTATTTCGTGGCGGTCACCGTCACCGTAATCTCTTCGCGATTTTGTGGGGGAGAAGATCGCCGTGGGAGGAATTAATTCTTGTTATCAAAATGCGCCTGGATTTATCCGCGGGGTAAATTCGGGCATTTTGAATAGCCAGACGTGCGAATGTAATTCGCGCGGTCCATGTAAACTATCCTTCATTGAATACGAGTGTACCGTACGTTTGTAAGCTCGATTAGAGGACACTAGTAGCAAGTATTATCAGCATTTTTGTATGTTTTGCTAAAAAGTATGTATATGTATATTACCTGAATAATACATGGACGTGCTTCTTATTATAAACGTTACGCCGTTACACGTTACACGACCAAGCAGCTACATTTGTGTCGGACGAATCACTTGGAAATTCGTACTTGTAAGGAAGCACAGGGACGAATAAGTGTTGAATCGTACGCTGCGACGGCTACCGTGACACAGTACGTATATAAATTGCGAGAAATGTAAAAAGAAGCGATTAAGAGAGCCACGTGTACGTATCCTACTCACACACGTCGAATTGATACAAAATGGAAATATATTTTCAATGTAAAACAGTTGCGCAATCTTGTCGATCTTTTTTTTCGACGAACAAAGTGAACGTGACGAGAAATACCGATGGTGCTCTTACCCCGGTGTTTCATCTTGGTTCAATTCATCTTCGTCTCTTTCTAAGGCCCGGTTTCACCAACGTCGCTTAACTTTATACACTCAGTCCAAAAAAAGCGGTACACCTAAAATTTGTCAAAAAATTACCAATTTTCGAATAACGATGACTACGCGAATAATAATGATAGAAAGGTTTCTCAAAAATGAAATTGAAGCTAGAAATTTCTACTTAAAGAATCTATAAATCAGAGTTTTGCGAGATAATTTTTTTTCAAAATGGATGACAAAACGAGAGCATGCAAAATTGAAAAATTTTCGTCCGAGTTTGCGACGATCCATGGCGAAAGGCAAGTGTTGCAACTTAATGGGAAAAAAGCAAGCGGTAGTACAGTCTCCCCTTCAAAATGCTTTTTTACTCGTTTCGATGCGATGATGTTTTGATAAGATATGCGCATTTAAAGTAAAAACCGGCCTTTTTATTAAAAAATGCACATATCTCGGCGAAAAATCATCGTATCAAAATGAGTAAAAAAGCATCTTGAAGGGGAGACTATCGCATGCTTTTTATCCCATTAAGTTGTGATACATTTCTCTTGCCATGAATCGTCGCAAATTCGGACCAATATTTTTCAATTTCGCATGTTTGAGCTTTATCATCCGCCATTTTGAAAAACGTATCGCATATAACTGCGATATAATAATTTTTTAAGGGACAATCCGAACCTCGAAAATGCTCTTTAGAAAAACCCTGCTAGCTGTATTAGGTAGTGAGATATTCAATTTTGAATTTTTTTCGCTAACAACCGTGGTATTTTAAAGCTCATGAGCGTTCGACGTGTATGTGCATGTGTTACTTATTGTCAGCTACAGACGAACCATGGAATTTTACTATTCCAGATCCACATTAACACAAGCAAACATTCTGAGTAGTTGCGTGAACGAAGCGTCTTCATTAGAGAATTTTGAATAAAAAGGCCGGGTTTTTACTTTAAATGATCTCTCAGCGAAAAATCATCGTATCGAACCGAGCAAAAAAGCATTTTGAAGGGGAGACTTTGTAAATACTATCGCACGCTTTTTATCCCATTAATTGTAAGTTGCAATACTTGCCTCTCGTCATGGATCGTCGCAAACTCGGACGAAAATTTTTCAATTTCGCACGCTCTCGTTTTGTCATCCGCCATTTTGAAAAAAATTATCTCGCAAAACTCTGATGTATCGATTCTTAAAGTAGAGATTTCAATTTTTTTAGTAATTGAAATCTCTTAAGTAAAGTAGAGATTTCAATTTCTTGTTTTAGAAATTGAAATCTCTACTTAAAGTGGAGATTTCAATTTCTTTCTATCATTATTACCTAATAATATATCATTATTACTCGCGTAGTTATCGTCATTCGAAATTTGGAGTTTAATTCGTTCTTTATCTCTTTCCAACTGTTACTTTAGTCAGAGAAAAACATGAATTAAACTAACAAGATTCAAGCTAAGCGGCATTTGATGAAACCGGACCTAAAGAGCCAACTATGCCCGTTTCAAAATTTAAAATTTACGAATTAGAAAAAGCTAAGAAGTAATTTAACCCGAGATTAAAGTTAATCTGCATTGGTATAATAGAACTGAGCAGAGAGAAAGAGACAAAGGATAAATTAAACTAAGATCAAAGTTAAACGCCGTCGAAAAACCGGGGTGATACAGTGCTCGTCCTAGAACAAAGTTTTCCCTTTTCTCTACAGTCTCCACACAGATTACTCTCCCCACTTGATTAACTAAAAATTAAAAAGAGAAGACGTGGGATTCGGGAATAGATTAAAGCAAAGTATATTACCAGTTTCTCTCTCGCGCGTGCAAGCGCGCGTCGACAAGACAGATCGCGGCCGATAGTGCCGATTCTGAGACGATCGCGGGCTGCCAGGTGAGCGGCGAGATAGCTTGATCTGTTACCTGACTGCAGGAAGCGACTTGGCGAACGCTCGGCCGCTAGTCGGTCCGTCACAGTTGGTTGTGTACGACGTGGTACCGACTTCTATCCCCTTGGCCGTAGCGTAGCGAGAGCGCGGTGGGGAAGCCCGAAGCGGTCCGAAGCGCGCGAGGCCCTACCACCACCTCCGCGCTTGAGCCAGCTTCCACCTGGCACACCCGATCCGAACCGAACCGAAGCCGAGCGGACGTGTTAATGTGCCGGTTCACCGTAGTTCCATCCTCCGGAACGACGACGACGACGACGACGACGATCGGCTCTTCGTGACTGCCACGCGATTCCGCAGGTCGCAACCGGTTGCGCTCGCTGTACCGCCGCGCGATCTCATTTCGGTTACCTTATGCTCGCTCACGTTTAGTCTCGTGAATCCGTCATCACGCGAACGCGCGCCTCGCACTTTGCTCGTTCGCTCGCTCGCTCGCTCGTTCGTTCGTTCGTTCGTGCATTCGCCTGCTCGCTCGCCCGCTCGCTCGCTTGCTCGCGCTCATCTTCGAAGAGGCCGGACATGAGAAGCTCGTCGAAAGTCTAGTGCCAGAGTGTAGTGTCTTTTAATGGAGCGTGCCGCCGACATATAGCCGACGTACAGCCGCTCTCCGTCGTGTTTCTCGTTACTCGCAACAGGTACGTGGCCGGAGGCCGTGCGATTCACGCGGGACGAGTCCTCGAGTCCTTCGTGTCCCCTCGTTGCTCCGATCGCAGCCTCGAAAGTCGGCCGGGGCTTATTATTCCTGTAGGGCCCGGACAGGGCGGACGCCGCGTATCCCGGATAAACGGGGCGGAAGTGCGCGTGATGGAGGAGCACTCGGTGCCTCGTTTCGGCGATGAATATGCGCGATCGTGACAACGATTGGTGCTCGAGGGTCGTTCAACGTTCAAAAGACCAGGGACTCGCGGTTACTTGGGAAAGACGAGCTTGTCTCTTTAACTAGTAGTTAAAAAAAACACGTAATCGCGACTTTTCGAAACATTTCCACGAATATGGAAGTGTCTCTCGAGTGGAGGTCGTTCTCGAAAACGACGAGAGATAACAAGGGCTCTATAAAACGAGCTTCGAGTCGCTCGTGGGTGGAAAATTGACGTGGACCCTGTGATTGCTCGTGGGCCAGTGATTAGTCAAATATCAAACACCGTTCCGCCAGCCTGACTCTGCAAATCCTCGCGGAAACGAGCTTTGTTCGGTGTCGCGTTTGCCGGCGAATCGAGTCGCGAGTTTTCGTCCTTTCTACTTTTAATGTCAAATGCCGGCCGCTGGACGGCGGTTCACGCTTTCCACGGCTATTGTCGCGTATCGAATGCACCTTATCGCGGAGATGAGACTCGGCGTTCGCTTTAATGAAAAAAATTTAAGTGTGACGAGTCACCGCGATTGGTATGCGTAAATATCGCGCGCGATAAGTGACGCGATAGTAGTACGAGATAAGACGGCGCGATAAAGGTAACGACTTGGGAAATTTTGAGCTTCTTCGGACGTTTATGTACATACAGAGAAATCCACCTTGTAGATTATTCTTTAACGATGAGCTCGCTTCGAGGAGGCAAAATTTAATCAAGGCGACTGGAAGGCAGCTCCTTCGCAAATTATATTCGACTACGAATCACGAAACGTCACGCATTCTTCTACTGCTTTTAACTAAAGCCTACGTTAATGGAATTCCAATTCGAAGCTTGACTTGGATATACGACTCTAAAGATTAGAAAGCCGCGACAAACGAGTTAGCCTCCCTCGATATTTTCGCACAGGTAAAATCGATCTCAAATTGACGAAGGAATCTGCGGGAAGTGGGACACCCTCTTTCTCTCTCTCTCTCTCTCTCTCTCTCTCTCTGTATACATATATTAAACTAATAACAATAACTAATAACTACATTATACCAACAACAATATTCGCACGTCTCGGAATACATCTTTTCTTTTTCTGGCAGTTTCCTGTTAGATTTATATATGAATTCATATGTCGCCGATTTACGACTTTTCATCGTCCGCGATTGCCGTGTCAATGTACCGTAACGAATTCACTGCGATATCGACACTAATCTAATTACTGTCACGAATGCAAACCGAAATACGGCTTCCGGAACACGTTCTTGCGTCCTCTCTCTCTCGAGAGCGATTAAAAATGTGCAAGTTGTACGGGCTCCCTCGGCGTCGGTCGCTCCTAAGCGCTTCGTTTGATCACCCGTTAAAGTCTCCCGCGTGGCGCCTACGCCACTGACCGTTCTCCACAGATATTTTCAAAGTCAATGACTGCGACTGCGACCGCTCCGTGCTCACGCCCGTGCCTCAAGTTCACGGCGAGACAAGGGTGCCCACCTAGTAAAATTAAAACGGCAATCTCTTGTAAGTCGGACACGAGGCGACGTACTGATTCCACTTATGGTATTTCGCAATTTTACTCGACCCGATCGTCTACCCCGAGTCTCATTTCTTCTCCGTGATATCAACGCGACACGATAAAGGTTTGAAATTGTCAGAGATCTCGTGACATTTACCGTTAGCGGCTAATAATAGGAGGCGAAGGATGAGATTAAAAAATGCGGCTTTGGTCGTCGGATGATTCAAGATGCGCAAATAATTGCGCGTGTCTATTTAAATCGCCGAAAGGCTCCAAGAGCTCGCGCGCACGTCGGAACGTAACGCATTCGTAATTAACGTCGGAAGATTTGTTAGAATCCTAAATCGAACGCGGTACAAAACTGAATTTTCTCAGTTTCCTTTTTTGTACGTGTTTAAGAGAAGATTTTTCTTTCAACTGTAATTCGAGCATTTTAATTGACAGTTAAAGTCTTCTCTCAGAGAAAATCATTCTGTTACAGTGATAACATGGACATTAAATAGTCGTGAGAGAGAAAAATAATCTTGATTAAAGCTGTTCGTACTCTTCTATTGCTCGGATCTGACTAGAAACGATTTAACTCTCTCTCTCTCTTTCATCCGCTAAAAGCAAATTGTTCAAACTGCCGCGATAAAACATGCAAATGTGTACTTACTCGTTCAGATCCAATTCATATCTTCTCTACCTGTCCATGTCCGTTCTCTTAAATCACATTGCTCGGCCAATCGATGCATCCAATCGACACTTTCTATCTGAGGAATTAAATTTAACTCGCTTTGAGAATAAGTGCTATCAACGCAATTGAGATATCCGGAAATTGATCTTTCCTGGTTCCTCTTACACATAAATTATATCAGGAGTAGAATCCGCTGTTATGATGCGCTATCGCAGGAAGAAATCTAGCCGCTCATTGTTGCATAATCCTGTGTAAAGTCGAATCCTCTCACGCGATTGACAAACGCGTGACTCTGTAAAAACGTTGTAGTCGATCCGCAGAGGTTCCTTCAAAATTTACAATTCGCTTATTACGCCGTAAACGTTATAAAAATAGTGTAAAATCGCGCGACGGATCTTGAAAAGAATGCTTTTTCGCTTGATTTTCTTCGTAATGTACACGATGGCTCGATGATAACGCGTGGTGGCATTGGCTGCGCTAGGGGAGAGAGAGAGAGAGAGAGAGAAAGAGAGGATTCTCGGTGGATCTCGAGCCGTATGGCACGGTAAGGCAAACTGCCTAACCCACTTTTGCGAACAGGTTTGCGATGCCTCCGCGGTAACGGTGATCGACCAGACATCACCGACGTGCGTGTCGGGATGCTCCTCTTCCAAATAGATGCAGCGACACGCGTCTACGACGCGTGTACCGTCGGGTTCTCGGAACGAGCCGTGAGTTCGAGCACCCTTGGGTGCGCTCGCAGCTTCCACGAATTCTCACGAGTGCTCCTCCCCGCGTCTCCCAAAGGCCATGCACACGCGTTTAACCGGCATTCCTAAATTCGCCGACCGACTCTATACGTAGTTTTACCGTTAGGTTAAATTATTGCGTGTATCGTGCGAATGGTGCACGCTGCACCGCCGTAACGATCAGGTCTAATTTATTTATTTATTTTTTTGTTTTTAGGCGGAGTGCCGACAACCACGACTTAAGAGATGGTCATCGTCACACGGGTAGGTTCTCACGCGGTCTACATTACTGTAAACGTTTGTCTTGATTCCGCACATTACGCGTTATACCGTTGCGATAGCTTAAGGGCTTCGTTCACCTCAGTTGGATTAACCGGTTGGTCTAACCGAAGTCGGTAAAAGAGGTCCTAAGGGACACATATTTCTGCTTGATAAATTTATTCATTTATTCCCCGCCTGAGGAAGACGCGCTTCAAACGTCCTCGTGCCTTCTCAGGTAGCAGGCTCCGACGTTTTCGGCGACAGCTCGGCGTTAAAACGACGACAAGTGACGTCAGCTTGCTATCCGAGTTTCTATTTTGTCGATCGACAAGCACCCCACGGGTGAAAAGCGCTAAGAAATTGGCGCTCACGCCGGTCGAACGAATAACGAGACAGGATAAATTCAATGAAGCCGCAGCTCCGCGGACCCACGAGCGGAGAAGCGGCGGATCTCTCGCGCGGCTTAATCCATTACATTTACCGCTTTCCTCGTCGTTCTCCTCGAACACGGTCAGTAGGAATCTGTGACGAGTGAAAATAGCCGGACAGGAGTCGTCGTGTTCTCGCGTTGTAAACAATGATGTACCGCTAAGTAACGCCGGTCTCTTGGACGTGGTCACCTGGACGGCGCGACGCGACGGTGCGGCTCGTCCTTCTCACTTCCTCGTGTCGTCCGGGGGAAGTGCCCCGGCGGATACACCAGACCTAAAAATCTACGAGGAATACTTGAGACGTAGCCCCGTACAGATCCTCGGAATCCTCTCTCATCGATAAAAGCGTCTCTAAAAGTGGCTTGTAGCCAATCGGAAGACTTGTCAGCCACCCCCAGTAGCACAATATAGTGGCGCAGTATTGGGAAATAATGTAAATCTAGTATTCCCAATATCGGTCCAATATTGTAAGTTGGCCGCCTTTTCATATTTAGCCAATATATCTATTTAGCAATATTGGTCTAATATTGGATCAATATTAGACCAATATTGTTACTACATTGTTAAATATTGGCCCAAGCACTTCCAATATAAAGGTAATATTATATAATTATTATCGTGCAACTTTTGCATTTATTTCATGGCCAATATCGGCTTTACGTCGGACAATGCGCTTCTAATATAACCAACATTGGACCAACATTTAGCCCAGGGCCCAGGGTTGGGAAAGTTACTTTATGAAAGTAACTCGTTACCGTTACCGTTCTTTTTTCTGCAGAGTAACTCGTTACCGTTACTCGTTATTGATTGAAAAAAGTAACCGTTACCGTTACTAAAAGGCTAACGAGTCGTTACTATTTTCGTTACTTTTATCTTGACATTTGCACAATTAAATGCAAGTTTCCGCGGTAAATATAAGCAGAAGGTATAAGTAAAATTATATCCTCTAGTAAAAGAATAAGGCTAGCATGAGGATAGTAATTTTCTTGCCAAATTTTACCAAAATGATTTATTAACTTTTAAAAGAAGTTGAAACTCCATAGAATCATCATTAAGATGACCTCTTCGCGGCGCTAATACAATGCCTCCCACACTGAATAACCTTTCTACAGAGGCACTGCTTGGAAGGGTAGCGTTATATTTAATTAAAAAGTGTCTAAATTTTGGGATAATCGTGCAACACATCTATTATTAGAATGCTTTGATTTTAAAACACGTTGCAGTTCTTCCTCGACGGATTCGTTTGTATTTTGCCGATAAAATTTTAAAAAAATTATCATTATCAATGTCTTTATTAATTTTTGGAAAATTGCCTTTTGATTGAATGTCAAATAAATCCTCTAAACAGCTTTCAGCAAACTCTTTCCTCTCTCCAGTTAACCAATTTAATTTAAATTTGGGATGTGAACAGCTTGCAATTATAAAATCTTTCAAACATTGTAGAGAGTCTGTAATTAAATATAGCAACGGAATATTTTTAGAACAACTCGTAAATACAGTTCATTACTTGAAATCAGCAAATATATAATATTATAAATATACTAATAAATTGCCTTTCATCTAAACCCGTTAGAACTACAGGCAAGAACCAATCATATTAAAGAACACGGAACTGCTTTGTTTTCTGAACGCAACTAGTGAAAAGTTCACGTGCGGTAAAGTAACGACCAAAGTAACTACTAAAATCGTTATCGTTACCGGCAAAATGTAACTACGTTACAAGTAACGCGTTACTTCTCAACTTTGCATTCAGCCAATGTTTAGCCAATGCACTGTGCTACTAGGGACTTTAGAAGACGCTTTTATTGCTAAAAGAGGGTTCAAAATACGAGCCCTACCTATTCTCAACCATATTGGAACGTACATACATAAGATTTAAAGATGGTTTAGGATACATTTTCGTGTTATTGGAAGACTGTTACCTCAAAAAAATTTTGAGAATAATCTCGAAAGAGTCAACTCATCTTGAACGATGAAGTATCGCCTGCTCAATGCAGAGGATCATTTCCGAACGTTTATGCTAAACTACCTCGCGTTAGCTCATCGTACCGCATCGTTGGCGTTCCGACCTTTCGAATGGAGCTGTCGACGCTGCAATATTTAGATATTGTTTGAAAATAAGGCGTAACGAGACTGCCGGAGCGAGTCGCTGCGCGAGCGAATGGATTGCGAGAGAGAGCGTGACCCTCGCCGACGAGACCGCGAGAGATAATGTTTAACCCGTCAGTGCTCGCGTAAGGAATAATAAAATAGTCCTAGGTTCTTGTTTATGACATAAAGACCTCGGAAGCTGTCGATTTTTCAATTTCTTTTAATTCGCGACTGTCTCAATGCTGTTTCGTAATTCGACGGTATCGTAATTATTGCAAATATGTTCTTTTGAAAATATGTTTAGTCTCGACGTGAAAATCTTGAAATGAGATCACATTGTGTTAAAGGAAGCAATTTTATATGATTCGAGAAAACTGTATGCTTACTATTTAAGAATAACTTTCTCGAATGGGAAGGAAACAATTTGAGTACACAAGAGTTGATTCGACACTAGTTTGTTTTCCGTGTGGATGTACGAGGACGACAACGGGAACCACGCGTTGATCGAAAAAGAAAAGGGGAAAACGCGATAGAGGTCAGCGTGGGCGAGATCCTGGATATCGTTGCGAGGCTCGTAAAGCGCGATCGTATAGAAATCAAGAGGACTTGGTCCACTGAAGCTGTCCCGCTTCCGACGTCGGTAAATCCACGGCGACGTAAGATGAGCGGGAGGGTCGCGTCTTCTCCGCAATCTCCGCGATGGCGAGTGAAAGGCGACGATTACACCGGCGCGCGGCGGCGGCGTCGCGTTTAAGCCTGTAACAGACCGCGCGCCGACGATCGAGGATGGCGAATTGGAAATTGGAGTTTACAACCGGTCAAAGCGTAGCGGATTAAAATTAAATCGATCCGATCGGTTGAGTCCCAATCTTCAGCTGGCAATTCTCAATCTTCGACGCAGTCCGATATCAACTTTTACAGCGAGCGATATTCGCGTATCGGACGTCCACGTCAGAGGCTGCGCTCGGCATTGCAAATCCGAGGCGTCGGAGTGCTTTTTCTCTTCTTTCTATCTCATTCTCCTCTCTCGTTCACTCGAACGCGAACCCAGTGGAGAAACGATTCGTCGAAACGATGTCGACACTGTCAAATTTCGACGTCGCTTCGACGTCGTTTCGACATCGATCGACGAGTCATTTCTCGCTGGGAAGGTGCGCTCCGGCACCTCGGATCTGCACTGTCGAACGCAGCTAGTGAAATGAAATAAGACGTGGCCCCGAAAAGACAGATAAAAGGGACACTCGCGCAAAGGGCCGCGCTGATCGCCGTGGCTCCTCGGCGAGTGTCTCTTCAACGGCCGGCCAGTCTCATTTCTGGCGAATGACCAGTCAACGCCTCAGGGGCTCGATTCTTGAATTCATTCAAAGGAGAAACGCACGCGAAATTTCTGCTCTTGCAGAAAAGTTGCAAGCTGATATTTCGACTTTTCTGCGAGAGCAAAATTTTCGCGCACGTTTCCCTTTCGGATGAATCCAAGAATCGAGCCCCTGGTAAAACGCGCGCGGTCTACGTCCGCAGTTTACATTGTGCACGCGTGGACGCGGATCGTCGTTACAATATTTTCGCCCGTAAACGCCCGGGCCTGGGGTCTAACGGCGTTTAGAAGTGACAAGGTTGAATTCCTCGAGTCGCCCGACGGTGAAACGGAAGTCGGTTCCACTCGGACTCGCCCGTCAATTACGAACGGACCGCCCGCCCGCGATCGAGTTGGGCAAAAGCGGCGGGCAAAAGCCTCCCGCCTCACCCTTCGGCTTCGCCGAGGCTCCGACTTCCCACGAGACGCCGCGCGCCGCGCGCAGTTCCGCGTGCTGCAACCGCTTGCATCGCGTGCGCGCGCGCGCGCGCGTAGTACGTGCCGCCCACACGAACACGGGGGATCGCACCTGATACACGTTTACGTCCCGATTGTTCACTTCACCGGAACATCGGAAGAGCTCCATCCGTTCCTCGCCTCGTCTCGCCTCGCTTCGCCTCGCCTCGAAATAAGAGCCGCTCCGATCTATCTTTTGCTTCGACCAGCAATTTTACTTTCGCGTCGTCCGCTCGCCCCCTCGCCGAATCTTGCGAGATCAACGTGCGCGCGAATTCACGAGGAGTACGAAACCCCGTTGAAATTTCACTTCTTCTTCTTTTTTTTTTTAAATACGATTTCCACGACTTCGAGACATTTCGCTTCTAGGAAGAGCGAAGCTCCGACAAACTTGAAATTCTATTAACGTCGCTGCGAAATGCGATTACGGTAGAGACCGAGCTCGCGGCTCCGTTGATCCAACCGCGGCGAGAAGGAGCGAAGAGACGGAAAAGGCGGGAGGTGGATGTTGGGTCGATTCGCCGAGGTGCGGCACGTGGGACACGTGCGACACGCGCGTCCGCGGCGAAAGAATGCCGCGTCCCGCGTGTCAAATCACAATTGGGGAAACGATTGTTACGACGAGGCGGCGCCTCCTCGCCGCGCGCCGCGCCGAATGGCAGAGGCGGTGGTACAGTTATTACAACGGTATACCATATAACTTAATTTTTAGATCCGACGCTCGCGTTAATACGCGAATTCCATACGATCCGCGACTGTGAAGCCCTCGGCTTCGTCGCTGATCGATTCTCGTTTCCTCGGCTGCCGGCAGGAATCCACCTCGGCCAACGGCCGGATATCGTTACTCAATAACGCGAATTACAGGTTTATGTTCATTAACGCTCCGTCCGAGATATACTGCACGGTTCAAGGCTGACGACACACGTTCGCTACCTTGGGCAATTATTTAGATCGCGTTCATGTATGTGACATTAGCGTAGGTACACGCAGGAAACCACCCTAGTAGCAGTGTTTTCTGTTAGATGAAATTATCTAGATGATCATCTAGATAAGGCTGTTTCCTTATCTCATCTTTATCTAGATAAGAATGAAACGTATTATCTACATCTTTATCTTAGATTTAAAAATACGTTATCTGTCTGAAATTATCTAAGATAATGGTTGCATTCAGCAGAACTCAGTATTTCGTGGCTAGGTTTAACCCATTATTTATCATTGGTAAATAATTTCATTTCCTAGTTTATCCGAAATTCATATACAAACAATTATCATTTCCATGTACAACATTATTAGTATTTGAAGAAATTAATATTTCAAATTTATTAGTTTCAATATCTGAATCTGATTCACACTATTCCATACTGTTCAAATCTTTATTTGCTTGTAACGTGTGTCAATTTTGATCACAATTTTCACATGTGATGCTAAAGCATCTAAATGATTTAGCATTAAAATTTGTAGCATTATCTGTTAGAATATTTGTAATTTTTTATATGTAAATTAAATTTCTCAATACATTGTGCACAACTATTGCAATATTTTTATAAATGTAATTGTACATTATTCTTTTACAAGCCAATTAAATATAATCCTGCTTTTTTAATAGATTTATAAATATAATTGTTTTTTTTTCTTTAATTACTTTTTAAAGCAATGTTATCTTGAAATCATCTAGATAAAATGCTTATAATTTCATCTATTATCTAGATAAACTAGAAATAAATAATCTATATCTTATCTAAGATAAAATTTTATGTCTTATCTTATCTTTATTTAGATGATTTCAACTTTATCTACGTAAAACACTGCCTAGTAGCGCAGTACTTTGGCTAAACATTAGTTAAATATTGGTCCATAGTGTCCGTAAAGCTAATATTGGTCATGAAATAATTATAAATATTGCACGATAATAATTAAATAAAATATAATATTAGATTTATATTGGAAGTGCATTGGCCAATGTTTAATAATGTAATAAGAATATAGATCTAATACTTTTACAACCCTGGCGAAAATAATAAGTTTATAAGAAATTTGTTTAAATGTTGAGTTAACGTTTTATTTGAGTTTTAAAACATTTATTGAATTGTTTGTGAGATATAAATTTAAACATGGAGTCATTTATGACTCACGTGTTTAATTGCACGTGTTTAAATTGCATTTAATGATACAATGTCAAACGTTTCCATTATAGTTTTCGAAGTGTTTGTAAAATGTTTTTGTCAGTAAAGAATTAACCAGGTGCTTGCAACGTACTTCCAAACGGTGGAACCGTCGGTAAAACTCTTCATAAACAATGTAACTATCGATAAAACTGTTTATAATAAATAAATATAAATATCATCTCTCACTTAAAATTTTCGCCAGGGAATATGTATCAATATTAGACCAATACAATATTGTATCAATATTAGACCAGTATTGCTAAATAGACATATTGGCTAAATAAGAAAAGGCGTCCATCTTACAATATTGAGAATACTGGATTTACATTATTTCCCAATATTGTGCTAATAGGGTGGTCTGTCTTTTTCGAGGGGTAAACCTCTGAGGGTGTACAGATTTGCGGAATTACTGGGCATTAGTTTGGGCATTACGAAGATAACATAAGATAAAACAAAATAAATAAGTTCCGTAGTAGGTAGCACAAAATATTGGCGCAACATTGAGAAATAATGTAAATCTCGTATTCCCAATATTATATAATTATTGAGCAATATTTACATTTGTTTCATGGCCAACATTGGCTTTACGTTGGACAAGATCTGCCAAAACATTTCTGATATAACCAACATTGGACCAACATTAGCCAATGTTTAGCCAATGCACTGTGCTACTAGGGATAAGATTTCTAGTAGCAGATTATATTGAGAAATAATGTAAATCTAGTATTCCCAATATCGGTCCAATATTGTAAGAGGGACACCTTCTTTTATTTAGCCAATATTGCATCAATATTAGACCAATATTGTTATTACGTTGGCCAATATTGGCTGTACGTTGGACAATATCGGCTAACGTAGAGAGCGAAAAAGAGAGAAAGAGTACTCCGACGCCTCGGATTTGTAGTAATACCCTAGTAACACAATATATTGGCGCAATATTGGGAAATAATATAAATCTAGTATTCCCAATATTGGTCCGATATTGTAAGATGGACGCCTCCTCTTATTTAGCAATATTGGTTTAATATTGTTCAATATTAGACTAATATTCTTTTACATAATTAAATATTGGTCAATGCACTTCCAATATAAATCTAATATTATATATATATTATAATTATTATCATGCAATATATTTACATTTATTCCATGGCCAATATTGACTTTACATTGGACAATATTGGCCAAAGCATTTCTAGCATAATCAACATTGGATCAATGTTTAGCAAAGTACCGTGCTACTAGAGATAAAATAAGATAATAAGATAAAGTAATGTCCACTGGGCATTAGTGTGCATCGGTGTACATGATTTTGATCAGTGGTTTACCCCTCGGTCTTGTTTCTCCGTGAATCAGAATAAAAGCGCGCTTCTCTTTGTCCAGGGCGATTATATATGGATCGAACCAATCTCAGGAAGGGAATTTGACGTCGCGATCGGGGCGCGAGTCATCTCGGCGGAAGGCAGACGTATTCAAGTAAAGGACGACGACAACAAGGTAATCGCCGAATTCACTTGGCGAAGCTGAGTCGGCTAGAACAGGAGGGGTACACGTGAGACTATCGTATGTCTGAGAAAAACAAAAAAACTGTTTCATAAACGTAAATACGAATTTGTTAGTATAAGTTTCGTATGCTACTTTACCCTGAAGAGGCAAGTTGTTTGTAAAGTAAGTTTTCATTAAAACAAAACTTTCTTAAACAGTTTGGTTTTATGCGGTATTTGCTAGAGCAAGGATCTATTGTTAACTCAAACTTTTGATCACACGTTTCCCTTTCTGTTCTGTTCTGTTCATTGTCGCCGCGAGTTTCCGAAAGGGGCAGTAGAGAAAAGTCCTCTAGTATGAGATAAGTTTCTAATACGGCGTAGCAGGTTTTCTCAACACCCAAATTCAATCACAAATCTTTTTCCGCAACGATTACACAATCTAACAATGAATCTTCCACAGATTTCGCTCCAAGGGCAATAAATTCATGGCGGAATCAACAGATGATGCCTATTAATTTAACGAAAACCCCGCTATTTCATATTAGGAGTCTATCTTAATTATAATAGGCGATTTCTCTATCGACCAGTTTCGCTCTCGAACGATGTAATTACAAAAAAGCCACGTTTCCCCACTGTCGATGCTACACTTGCATTTTCCCCGAAAGGCAGTCGGTTTGACTAACTAACTTTGAATTCCACGTTGGTCTATGACGAGCGAATAATTCCGCAGGAACAATGGCTGACGCCGGAGAGACGAATCAAGGCCATGCATGCCACTTCGGTGCAAGGTGTAGAAGATATGATCAGTTTAGGAGACCTCCATGAAGCGGGCATTCTGCGAAATCTATTGATACGCTACAACGAGAATCTCATTTACGTAAGTCCCTCGGCGCGGTGACGAAATACCGATTGGTCGTGCGAGATGCAGGCGAGCGAAACCGATCGCGTGAACATTAACGACCTAATTTTGCAGACGTATACGGGCTCCATCCTCGTCGCCGTCAACCCGTACCAGATATTGCCTATTTATACCGCGGAGCAAATCAAGCTCTACAAGGATCGTAAAATCGGCGAGCTGCCGCCGCACATATTCGCCATCGGCGATAACAGTTACGCGCACATGAACCGATACGGCCAGGATCAGTGCATAGTGATTAGGTAAGAGACCACGAGTCGTCTTCTGTCTATCCTTCCGCGGCACTAAAACCGGAATTTATAGTTGGATCTTATATTTAAAGTCGTCCTGAATTCCCAACGGGAAATGACTCGTCGATTGACGTCGAAACGATTCCGAATTAATGTCCAATTATCGTCAAATCGATCGACGAATCATTTCTCACTGGGTTTATCTAAAGCTGCTGCGTGGAACATTTTAGTGTCTACGGAGTATCTAAAGATGATTTTAAGACGATCTTAAATATAAGATCTAACTACGAATACCGTCATAAGCGTCAAAGACGATTAATGACAATTTCGAGAGCCGTTCGACGATCGATCGCCCGTATATATATTTTTTACTTGCCGTTTACAAGTGGAATCGGAGGAGAAGGTTCGATTTTCTTCCGCGCGATATTCTCGCGAATCGTGTTTACTATTGAAGAGACAATTATTATTGAAAGCTTGTCATCGAGGAGACAATTATTATTGAAAACGCTATCTGTGTAGAATTGCGACTTGTATAAATAATTTTCTTTATGTCTATTAATAGAAATTCGTATTCATTTTAGCGGCGAGAGCGGAGCAGGAAAGACGGAAAGCACAAAATTAATTCTGCAATATCTAGCGGCAATCAGCGGAAAGCATTCGTGGATCGAACAGCAGATCTTAGAAGCGAATCCGATACTCGAGGGTGAGTCTCGTGATAAGGAATATTCTGTATTGAAAATCGAAAGAGTGGATTGATTGTCAAGTGACATCTCTGACATTCTAGCTTTCGGCAACGCAAAAACCGTGAGAAACGACAACTCCTCCCGTTTCGGCAAGTACATCGATATTCATTTCAACGAGCAGGGCGTGATAGAAGGAGCGAAGATAGAGCAGTATCTCCTAGAAAAGTCGCGGATCGTATCTCAAAGCTTGGACGAGAGGAATTATCACATTTTTTATTGCATGCTAGCTGGCCTTTCCAAGGACGAGAGGCAAAAGCTCGAGCTGGAAGATGCGTCCACGTACAAATATCTCATAGGGGTAAGTGCGCGAATAACATAGCGGTTCGTGCTAACAGCGATGGTAATAGCGTTTTGTCTCGTTCCAAGAATACGCATGTACGCACGTGAGCAAGCTTATCTCTAAGAATAAAAGTGTATAGAAAAATATTTATAGATGCGCTAGAAAACTTTCGTACGTGCTCTCATACGTGCGATATCAATCTTTGTCTTCAGGGTGGCGGCATCACTTGCGAGGGACGCGACGACGCGGCCGAGTTCGCCGACATACGATCGGCTATGAAGGTTCTTCTATTCTCCGACGTGGAAATCTGGGAGGTGCTTAAATTGCTCGCGGCCTTGTTACACATGGGCAACATAAAGTACAGGGCCACTGTTGTAGGTACGAAATTTAATAGGAATCTAACAAATTCACCTCGTCGATCTCGTCTAAAGTTGGAATTAGATGGTTTCAATCCGTTCGCGCGTGACTTCCAGATAATTTAGACGCTACGGAGATTCCAGAGCAAACTAATGTACAAAGAGTGGCATATTTACTGGGAGTGCCGGTACAGTCTTTGATAGACGCGCTCACTCGCAGAACTATATTCGCGCACGGTGAGACAGTAGTAAGTATTTTGCCACGTGTGTAAGGCCGAGGGCCTTAAGAGTACCGTAGTGTTGAAAATAAATCCTTTGTTATGTCTCGATAGGTTTCCACGTTGTCGAGAGATCAATCGGTCGACATCAGGGACGCATTTGTGAAGGGCATATACGGTCGATTATTCATCCATATTGTAAAGAAAATTAACGAGGCCATATACAGGCCGAAGAATAATTCCCGGAGTGCTATAGGAGTGTTGGATATCTTCGGCTTCGAGAACTTCAACCACAACAGCTTCGAGCAGTTTTGCATCAATTATGCCAACGAGAATCTCCAGCAGTTTTTCGTTCAGCATATATTCAAGCTGGAGCAAGAGGAGTACAATCACGAGGGCATCAACTGGCAGCATATAGAGTTCGTCGATAACCAGGACGCTTTAGATCTGATAGCCATCAAGCAGCTCAACATTATGGCGCTGATTGACGAAGAATCGAAATTTCCAAAGGTACGAGTTGAAGGATTCGCAAAAAGAATGAGCGAGATCTTTTAATTATTAAAGATGTAGTCGTTTCAAGCTAACTGGACATTTGCTGTGCTTTTAATGCCTGCTTTGTTGATTTTCAGGGCACGGATCAAACGATGTTGGCGAAAATCCACAAGACCCACGGCAGTCATAGGAATTATTTGAAACCTAAATCGGATATTAACACGTCCTTTGGCTTGAATCACTTCGCGGGCGTCGTCTTTTACGACACGAGGAGTTTCCTGGAGAAAAACAGAGACACGTTCAGCGCGGACCTGCTGCAACTTATTCATATATCGTCGAACAAATTTCTCCAAGCTTGCTTCGTCGAGGACATCGGTATGGGATCGGAAACTAGGAAAAGAGCGCCCACGTTATCGACACAATTCAAGAAGTCGTTGGATTCGCTCATGAAGACTTTGTGCAGTTGTCAACCCTTCTTCATACGATGCATCAAACCGAATGAATATAAAAAACCGATGGTAAGCACTCGCGATCGGGTGAGCTGTGCTCGATTTACATAATTGCATCGTCGATGGAACGATCTTGTAAACGCAATATTGACGTTCCAGATGTTCGATCGTGGTCTTTGCTGTCGGCAATTGAGATACTCCGGTATGATGGAAACCATCAGGATTCGCCGAGCTGGTTACCCTATTCGCCATTCCTTCCACGAGTTCGTGGAACGATATCGCTTTCTCATCTCGGGCATTCCGCCCGCACACAAGGTGGATAATCTATCGAATAGTACACTTTTATTATAATATATTCATGCACGGAGAAGATTTTCTCAAAATTTACACTGAAAATCATGTAATCGTGGGACAACGCGGCATTTCGAAGAACCGTGTGAGTTTTTTTGAAATTTTACGATACGTTCTACTAGTAAAGTGTATAGTAAAATTTTAAAAAGCTCACAAAGTTCTTCAAAATGCCACGTTGTCCCACGATCACACGATTTTTAAGATAAAATTTAAGAAAAAATTCTCTTCGTGTAGCTGCTGCGTCAGTTACTTTCTTATCAAGTAAAATTCGTATCGTCGAAAAATATTCATATCGTTTAACTTCAGGTGGAATGCTGCGCGGCGACTTCAAAGATTTGCCACGCGGTGTTGGGTCGATCGGATTACCAGCTCGGACATACCAAAGTCTTTCTCAAGGATGCTCACGATCTGTTCCTCGAGCAGGAGCGCGATCGCGTGTTGACACGCAAGATTCTGATACTGCAGCGCAATATCCGCGGCTGGGTTTACAGGAGAAGGTTCCTGAGGATGAGGGCGGCGGCGATGATCGTACAAAAGTACTGGCGCGGCTACGCGCAACGTCAGCGATACAAGCGCATGCGAATCGGTTACATGCGATTGCAGGCGCTCATCAGATCGCGCGTGTTGTCGCATAGATTTAGACACCTGCGCGGTCACATCGTCGCGCTTCAAGCGCGAGCCCGCGGCCACCTGGTGCGAAAGATGTACCGGAAGAAACTGTGGGCCATAGTGAAGATACAGGCGCACGTGAGAAGACTGATTGCGCAAAGACGATATAAGAAGATCAAGTACGAGTATCGACTGCACGTGGAAGCGCTGCGATTGCGAAAGAAGGAAGAGCGCGAGCTGAAGGACCAAGGCAATAAGCGAGCCAAGGAGATTGCGGAACAAAACTACAGGGTAAATATGATATAGATATTTACTAGTGAATTTTACAGTCGTTACTCTAACTGATAAATGAAACAAAAGTCTGTGGACGGGAGAAAGTTCGTTGATATTAAATCGCTACGAGAGGAGAAGCGCCTTCTTCTTGGTGTTGTGGTCTCATGTTAACATAAACAACGTACTCGCTGTATGGTAAAAAAGATAATATAAGAATTAGCAAAAAAAAAACGCTGACTGTGTCGAGAACTGACCAGTGTTAATCAGTTTCTTTTTTCAACGAGTCACGATATTATCATTCGTGAAATGTGACACGGTGTTAACTTTGCAATATGACACGTATACATTTCAGGAACGCATGCAAGAACTGGAGAGGAAGGAAATTGAGATGGAACTAGAAGACAGGCGACGAATGGAAATCAAGAAGAATTTGATTAACGACGCGGCCAAGAAGCAAGACGAGCCGGTCGACGACAGCAAATTGGTCGAAGCCATGTTCGACTTCTTGCCAGACTCTAGCAGCGAAGCTCCGACGCCGGCGAGGGAAACGTCTGTTTTTAACGTAAGTCGTGATACCTCGTTTGAAATGTGATTCTAAACGATTGCGAGGGATCCCTAGAAGTAACATGATTTTAATTTATACATAAAATTAGAAGACCTTTTACTTGTGCCAGTGCTTTCTCGCATTAAGATTAATCTCTTTACCTGCGACAGGATCTTCCCGCACCGAAAGCCGATCAACATCAGGAGATAATTAGTCCGATTCAAATGGCCTCGGAGGATGAGGAGGATCTGTCTGAATTCAAGTTCCAGAAATTCGCGGCCACGTATTTCCAGGGCAACATCACGCACCAATATTCTAGAAAACCGCTCAAGCATCCACTATTGCCGTTGCACACGCAAGGCGACCAATTGGCCGCTCAGGCTCTATGGATAACAATACTTCGATTTACGGGCGATTTACCCGAGCCGCGATTCCACACGATGGACAGAGACACGACCTCGGTAATGTCGAAAGTGACGGCGACACTCGGACGGAATTTTATAAGGAGCAAAGAATTTCAGGAGGCTCAGATGATGGGCATGGATCCTGTACGTACAAGTCTTTTTGTAATTAATGTTAAATTTACATAAACTTTTTTTTAAACTGTACTAGCGCGCGAGAAGACACTAAACAAAGACTATCTTTTCAGGAAACATTTCTCAAGCAAAAGCCTCGTTCGATCAGACACAAGTTAGTATCGCTAACGCTGAAGCGGAAAAACAAGTTGGGCGAGGACGTACGCAGAAGGCTACAAGAGGACGAGTACACCGCCGACAGCTATCAATCCTGGTTAGAGGCCAGACCTACGTCAAACCTCGAGAAGCTGCATTTCATCATCGGCCACGGTATATTGCGTGCCGAATTGCGGGACGAGATATACTGCCAAATCTGCAAGCAGCTGACCAACAACCCGTCGAAATCGTCGCATGCTCGAGGCTGGATCCTGCTGTCCCTCTGCGTCGGCTGTTTCGCACCGTCCGAGAAGTTTGTCAACTATCTACGAGCCTTCATTAGGGAGGGACCACCTGGCTACGCGCCCTACTGTGAGGACAGGCTGAAGAGAACCTTCAACAACGGCACTCGCAATCAACCACCGAGTTGGCTTGAACTGCAGGCGACGAAATCGAAGAAGCCAATCATGTTGCCGATAACCTTTATGGATGGCAACACGAAGACCTTGCTGGCTGACTCGGCCACCACTGCTAGAGAACTGTGTAACCAGCTATCCGATAAGATCTCGCTGAGGGACCAATTCGGCTTCTCTCTGTATATCGCGCTGTTCGACAAGGTGTCGTCCTTGGGCAGCGGCGGCGATCACGTGATGGATGCAATCTCGCAATGCGAGCAGTACGCGAAAGAGCAGGGTGCGCAGGAACGGAACGCGCCGTGGAGGTTGTTCTTCAGAAAGGAGATTTTCGCGCCCTGGCACGAGCCGACCGAGGATCAGGTGGCGACGAATCTAATCTATCAGCAAGTGGTACGCGGCGTGAAATTCGGCGAGTATCGCTGTGACAAGGAGGAGGACCTGGCGATGATAGCGGCGCAGCAATATTATATAGAATATCACACCGACATGAACGTCGACAGGCTGTATACCCTTCTGCCGAATTACATACCGGATTATTGTCTGACGGGGATCGACAAGGCGATCGATCGATGGGGACACCTCGTCTTGCAGGCGTATAAAAAAGTGAGTCTTTATCAAATTAAACAAGTACACTTCCAAAGCAAGCAGTGACCCGCGCAATAATGTTCCAACGAGACGAGAGATTTGTAAAAGAAAAACAGATTGAAATGAGTCTCAAGAGATTACAAGGCAAGTTCAGATCAAAGCGCCGGATATTCTAATCCCGAATGCAAAGAGCGATCTAAGAATAAGAGTTTCGAAACGTTTTTACTTTTATTTTTAAAAAGGGACGTTGTCTTGAAGTTATTTAATTAAAAAAAAAACACGTGCACACACACAGATGTTCCTGAATTCTCGATTTTCGCCTCTACTCTAGTTCTAACTTTTAATTTCAGAGTTACTACTTGAAAGAGAAAGTACCAGCACTACGAGTTAAGGAAGATATAGTCGGTTATGCAAAGTTCAAATGGCCTCTGTTGTTCTCTCGTTTTTACGAAGCTTATAGAAATTCTGGCCCGAACCTACCGAAGAATGACGTTATCATAGCCGTTAATTGGACCGGGGTGTACGTTGTCGACGATCAGGAGCAAGTACTCCTGGAGTTATCCTTCCCCGAAATTACCACCGTATCTAGTCAAAAGTACGTAAGCGTCATTAAAGTTAAGAACATAAAAATTAAGCTCAGTCGCTTTGATATATTTTGTTTTGTTTTGCGAACTACAAATTGTTATTAACTGTTTGAAGAAAGTGACAACTGTCCGAGTATTACGTTTCTAAACTTGCCGTCATCTCCGCAGAACAAACAAGATGTTTACGCAAACATTTAGTTTATCGACGGTACGGGGAGAAGAGTTCACGTTCCAAAGCCCGAACGCGGAGGACATCCGTGATCTGGTGGTATACTTTTTGGAGGGGCTGAAGAAGCGCAGCAAGTTCGTCATAGCCCTGCAAGATTACAAGGCACCGGGCGAGGGCTCGTCGTTCCTGAATTTTCAAAAGGGCGACCTCATCGTCCTCGAAGACGAGAGCACCGGCGAGACTGTGCTCAACTCAGGATGGTATGTCGGCACCTGCGAGAGGACTGGTGAGAAGGGCGATTTTCCGGCTGAGACGGTTTATGTTTTACCTTCCTTAACGAAACCACCGAATGATATATTGGTGCGCATCAACGTACATTACTTTAATTGCCGAGAAATGTTGACTTCTTCTAAATTCGACTGTAATTTTCAGGCTCTATTCAGTATGGAGGGTACGGAGAATAGTCGCAGACTCTATCCGCAGCAAATGAACGGCGTGGACTCTCGCGATAAACCCCACACTCTTCTGGAGTACGCAATCGATCACTTCCGGTAAGTGAAAACGTCGCGTTCGATATTCTAAAGTAGAAAAAAGGAGTGATAACTCTCTGATTGAATTTGTCTCAGAACACCGCCCAAGAGAACAATGTCCAAGACACTGACCTTAACATCGGCGCGACGTGGTCACGTGGACGAATTGTGGCATCACTCCAGAGAACCGATAAAGCAGCCACTTTTGAAGAAGCTCGTGTCCAAGGAGGAGCTAGCCGAAGAAGCGTGTTTCGCCTTCAACGCCATTCTGAAGTACATGGGCGATCTGCCGACGAAACGACCGCGCATTGGCAACGAGTACACTGACTTAATCTTCGACGGGCCGTTGAAGAACGAAATTTTGCGGGACGAAATTTATTGTCAAATTATGAAGCAGCTTACCGATAACCGGAACAGATTGAGCGAGGAGCGAGGATGGGAGCTAATGTGGCTTGCCACTGGACTGTTTACTTGTAGTCAAAGCCTCTTAAAGGTACAGTATGTAATGAATTGCGTCTCCCTCTTCCTCTCTATTTATCAATAATTACTGTACTTGTTACAAAATAATATCGATGAAATGCTCGAAGAAAAATTCCAAGGTATAGATATATATGCATACGTAACTTTACATTGCAGGAATTAACTCTGTTTCTGCGTACAAGACGGCATCCCATATCCCAGGACTCTTTACAAAGGCTGCAGAAAACCTTGCGCAATGGACAACGAAAGTATCCGCCGCATCAAGTAGAAGTGGAAGCTATCCAGCACAAAACTACGCAAATATTTCACAAGGTCTACTTCCCAGACGACACGGACGAGGCACGTATCTCTATTGCCCATTTCTTCTAGACAACCTTTTCCTATCGATTGTTAGCTATCGTAATTTCGGTTTACAGGCATTCGAGGTTGACTCGTCTACCAGAGCGAAAGACTTTTGCCAGAATATCGCGCAAAGGCTCAATCTGCGATCTGCCGAGGGTTTTAGTCTGTTTGTCAAGATCGCTGATAAAGTTATTTCCGTCCCGGAAGGAGACTTCTTCTTCGACTTCGTACGACATTTGACCGATTGGATCCGGAAAGCCAGACCATCGCGAGACGGTACAGCTTTGCAATCTTTCATGTTCTCGCTCTTTCTCGCAGCGACTGTATCGAATTATAACATCGGTAGCAACAAAACATATACATCTGTTTTTACTATACGTGTCTAGCATAGACGAAGAAAGTGTCGAAAATTCATTTTGTTTGTGGATTAAGGAGTACGTACAAGCAGATTAAGTTATCTACGTTTACTGATATAAAATATTTAAAAAAAAAGATTGCACGATATTTTTATCAATCTACATCAAACGGTGGTGTGAATAAATCTAGAGGTATAACGCAAGGAATACATATCTATCGCGACAAATCAATTTGAACGTCGTAATACAACTGCTGCGAGAAAACGGAAGCTTCACCTAATAGCGCGAATTGTTGTACGATTTCTATACTCTTACATTTGTGCGCATATACTTTTATATTAAGCATTCGATATTTTACTTATATTTGAAAATGCAAATGTGGTTTTTTCTTCGCCAGTATATTAATCAATAAATTAATACAGCTGTTTTGACGTATCTGGCATTTTATTCACGTTGTTACATTAACGACGTTTCGATCGTGAATTACGATCCTCTTCAGGTTTATAAAGAGACGAACAAGAGCCAAACAATGGCTACGTTCGGCAGAAAAAGCTGCTTTGCAACTGTTGTAAAATTCATGAATCTGATTGACGTATGCTCTTAAATTCACACAAGATTGAGAGAACACACCAATCAGATTCACGAATTTTACAACAGTTGCAAAGCAGCTTTTCCTGCCGAACGCAGCCATTAGCTCGACCGTTGTGACAGCAAAAAGTTGAATCTATGAAAAGCAATGTTCGTCAATATGAAGTACAAGTAAAAAATTTTTTTCCAATTTAAGAGCATCTATGTGGAATTGTGTCGAGCACGAAATCAGGCGAAACATCCGCACCACACAATAGTTTCAACACTTCTTACTTGTACTTCATATTGACGAACATTGCTTTTCATAGATTCAATTTTTTGCTGTCACAATGGTCGAGCTAATGTTTGGCTCTTGTTCGTCTCTCTATAAACCTGAAGAGGATCGTAATTCACGATCGAAACGTCGTTAATGTAACAACGTGAATAAAATGCCAGATACGTCAAAACAGCTGTATTAATTTATTACTTATATTTGTTATTCAGGGGTGTCGCCGCAGTTTACATATCAAGTCTTCTTTATGAAGAAGCTTTGGACAAATACAGTTCCTGGTAAAGACAGAAACGCCGATTTGATTTTCCACTTCCATCAGGAACTTCCCAAGTTACTGAGAGGTGAGTAGTAGTAAATGGAATATTTATTTTCCGACACCTTGCGATGCGTTTTACGTAATAATGCATTATGCATCATATTATCATTGCAAAATATGCGTAGGCTACCACAAATGTACAAAGGAGGAAGCGTCGAGATTAGCGGCTTTGGTATATAGAGTACGATTCGGCGAGAGCAAACAGGAGTTACAAGCGATCCCGTAAGCACTTTTCAATATGGTTTTGCAAAGCCATTACGAGTGAACAACGTGAACAAACTTTCTCGATTTCAGGCAAATGCTGAGGGAACTCGTGCCGGGTGATTTGATCAAGATACAGAGTGCTAATGACTGGAAACGATCGATAATCGCTTCCTATAATCAAGACGCCGGTAAGTGAGAAGCACGAATGATTCGCTAGAGTCCTTTACGCGCGAAGAAAGATTTCGGATGTTTATCGTGGCACTTTATCGTAGGCATGAGTCCAGAAGACGCAAAAATTACATTCCTGAAAATCGTATATCGATGGCCGACGTTCGGCTCCGCGTTCTTCGAGGTGAAGCAGAGCACGGAGCCGAATTATCCCGAGTTGTTGCTTATCGCCATCAATAAACACGGCGTGAGCCTCATACATCCTCAGACGAAGGTAATCGAGATAATCTCACGTTACTTCCTCTTCCAATAGCAGAGGTGTATATGTAGAGTTGTAAATACGTGTCATTTTTAGCTTCAGTTAACGTTTTATCAACTTGAGACTATTGACAATCTATTAATATACGTGTAATTTTGCAGGACATACTTATCACTCATCCCTTTACAAGAATCTCCAATTGGTCGTCTGGCAATACCTACTTCCACATGACGATAGGGAACCTCGTGCGCGGCTCGAAGCTCTTGTGCGAAACCTCACTGGGTTACAAGATGGACGATCTCCTGACCTCGTACATTTCGCTAATGCTCACGAACATGAACAAGCAACGTACGATACGAATCAAATAGCGGCAAAAGTAACAATTGAATGGAATAATATTCCGTGACATGACTGAATACGCAAGTGCGTCTTGCAACGACTTTAACGCCGACGATTTACGCATGTTCGGCAGATTCTCTTTGCGATATCGTTTTCATCATTCGATGGATTTCTTTCCAACCGAATTGGCGAGAAGATGCAATTTGAATTTTTATTTTACGTACTTGATATATTTATCATTGTTCACGTTACGTCGTACGCGGCGTGGGAGTCGCGCGGAAGTAAGTTCAGAATTATCAATGACTACAATTTATCTTATAAAATATAGATATAGTACATACGGTTGCATATCTACCTGTTAATTTATAATTCATAATAATCTGTGCAAGAGGAATAACAATTTATATGTACACAAGTTGTTGTAGCTGATAGATTTGTACATGATCTACTTACGGTTAGGAATTTTTCATCGCTTTGTATAAAATATCAATTCCCCCTTTATCGTATCTTAAATATACCATCGTGGTAGGTCCTGTAATTCAAAATTCATTATTATTATCTCCAAGCAATTGTACGCGCTCTAGATGCATATTAAATGTAACACGGGCATAACAGCGGCTGATACACAGCTCGTATTTGAGAGGGACTCGCGTTTGCGGCAATCGCGCGAATCCACAGCCGAGCGGTTAGAACATTATCCGTCCAACGAGTCGTTTATTATTACGTGGCGTGAGTCAAATCTTGGGAGGCCGCGGAGCACAAAGTCAAGTGTGTCCGTAGGAACAGAAACAAAAAGTTTCCAAATTTGCCCCGCTACCTCTCGCAGAGTGTAATTTCGCAATAAACGTCTCGCGTAAGAATGTAAGTACTATTAATTCGCATTTATAATTGTGAATAAAGACGACCATGTTTTCCACGCGCAAAGTACAAGCGTTAATCGTGGGTAAATTCCCATGGTATGTATACCGGCGTTCCCCCCCCCCCCCCTCTTTCCGACACAGATCTCTTCGGGAAGACATTCCCAGGGCGATGCTATCTCACTTCCTTTCGGAGATGACGGTGTTTCGATTATCTGTCGTAAAAAGAAGGTAAAAGATCCGAGTATACGCGCTAATGACTGAGAGCGTCGGCGTTCGCTCGGAAGGAATTGCCAATTTTGTTTCAACACACCCCGCGTATCCATCTAGTAAAATTTTCTACTATTTGTTAAACAATGTTAAATAAATGTTAGACGCGACTCTCATAAGTTTCAGACGGAAATTTCGTTTTCAAATTCCTCAAAGAATCCACGACTGAAAAGATTCGCGATCATCGTTTGTGTACGGTGCTCGCAAAGAATTTTCACCGACTGCAGTTTTGGAATCGGGGGGGGGGGGATCGAACGGGAACTGATCGACGAAATGAAGATCGTGTAATATAAACCTTCTGTTTATTCTAAATCATCGTGTAGGAGCGTAAATTTTATATGCGTCTTCATTGTACTTATCGATGTAAATTACAATAAAGCATATAAATGTAATTTTTAATGTCATTCTCACGAAAATCCTATGTAAAAAAACGCTCCGAGTTACAGTAATTACAGTACAGAAGATCCTCGATCTATCTGAAAAGGAAACCTCAAGTATCATGTAGAGGATATAAGTCTTCGTGCACGATGTAGCTTAAAGATAGCCGTCCACTCGATCGCAATTTTGGATATTCGTACTTCTGATAAAAAAATCAGGAAAAATATACACGTATGTAATGCACAATGACCGAGAGATTTGTCTCCTACGCTTAATTTTACTTACGAGAGTTAGATGATGAACCGAAAATTAGTCTCACGCGAGCATCTCGAGGATATCTAACGCAACTGTTACACCGGGATCCATGTAATTGTAATCACAATAAGTGCTGTACGTACATTGAGATACTATATACATAAAATAACACACATACACGCACAATAGACAGACACTCGCGCGCGTATATTGTCAAAAGAAAATCATACCGTTTCTAAAGCGAACTCGATGTAGAAAGGGGAAAAAGAAGATTGCATACGAATTCTACTGACTCTGTCTGAATCTCTGACCGACACTCTCACGATCAGCGTCGACTCGCGCGACGCGTCGCACACATTCACTCGCGAAAGTATTAATCATGCGTCACCTAATAAATAATGAAGAATCTATCGACACCGCGCGCGTACGAATTTACAAATGTACCAAACGCCGAGGCCGTCGTGCGCGGGTTCAAAAATACATCGTACCTTCTCCCTATCTAACTTTGTACAAGATGGACCATTCACGCGGGGCCAAACGCTCGGACCTCGGTACTGCTCTCGTAAAAAAAATTCCTTCTCCTCCTTTGCGAAACGATATCTTTTCGATATGCGATAGAACGGGTCGTCGGACAAAACTGCGTATTGTACAAAATTGATACAATCCAAGTAACCAACGTAGTGAGCGCCGTTACAATTTCGAAATTCGCTACACCGAGTTCCAAGCGTGGCAGCAGCTTCTCTTTCTCTCGTAACAAATACAATGTTAAAAGCACAACCATCGTTCGGTGACCGATATGCAGATGTATAGACCAAGACTGTTACCCTCGTCACTAACTAATTGTCTGATAGTTTTTTCGTTCTTTTGTAAATGCCAGATGAAACGAGGGTAAAATTACATGGGAAACGTTTCGAGATGTACCTCTCTCTCTCTCCCTCTCTTTCATAGAAAAATGATTAAAACTAATGTTACCATATAAATCGAATCTCATATTTGCTCTTCCCTCGTTTCTAAAATTCTATATCGCCCAACATCGTATACACGACTCAGTCTATACACACTAGCGTAAGCCGTAAAACCTACAGGATCGCTATATAAATTATTATCTCTGTAAATCTGCGTCTCTCAACAACTTACGAGTCTAGTTCTACGATCTTTAGCGCGCGCGAAATTGGACGCGCCGCATTGTCGCACCTCGTCGGATGCACTGAGCGATACGCTACGTTTGCGTATTGTCCAGGTTTGCACTGCACCGCGCCGCATCACCGTCGATCTCGAGTAAGAAATCTTTCGCCAGATACGAGCAGTCGCCATCGCCGCTCTCACTCCCGTCATCGTCGTCATCGTCGTCATCGTCGTCATCGTCGTCGTCGTCGTCGTCGTCCTCGTCATCGTCGTGAGACACGACGGCCGGCGTTGCACCGTCCGTATCACTACTACATCGTAAGCTTTGGTTCGCGTTGTGACGATTGTCTAGAAGACATCAGAGACCCGACTGCGGCGGCTGGCCGTGAGTGTTCCAGGGTACGTCGGCGGGCATCGCGGCGGGCGGTATACTGGCTTGATTGTGCATGGCACGCGGCGCTCGCATAATCTCGTCGGCGGGCGGACAGTGCGGGCGCGGCCCGGGCTCGGGCGTGTACGTGAAGGTCAGGCCGGTCGCGTAGATGATGCCGTCGTTGCGCACGAGGGAGACCGGCACCTGCGTCGGCTGGCGCACCCAGAGCCACTCGCCGCGGAACAGCGAGATGTCCGGCACGACGCAGAGCATGCTCTCCTGACATCTGTACATGGTCTCGGCCTCGACGTCGCCGAACCAGACTTGCAGGTTCGGCGTGAAATTGTCGCCGGTCAGCTCGAGCATCGCCACGTCGCCGCCGCCGTTGAGATGCAGACTGTGGACCAGCGGTACCGGCGTCACCGGCGACCGTACCGGGCCCATGCCCTCGAAGAACTGGTACTCGGCCTTGTCGGTGCTGATGATCGTCCAGCAGGCGCCGTCGTTGATCATCTCCTTGTTCGCTTCCTTCGGGCACGGCGTAGCCTGGAACTGTATGATGCGCTCCTGCGACAGGCACAGGTACATGTGATCCGTGTCCTTCATGTAAAAGGCGCACTTGTGCAACTGCGACACGGGATCGTCGGCCTCCAGGCTGGCCATCTGCTTGTCCACCTTGCGGATCACCAGCCGCGGCAGAGCCATCCCCGTGACAGAGCACACCAGCTTCACCGTGCTGCCGTAATGGACGTAGCCGTCGCGCACCTGAAACTCCTCCGACTCGCTCTCGTTGTCGTCCAGGAGGTGGATGGTGAACGCGCCCCATTGCGTCGAGCTCGCGTGGAAGTTGCCGTTCTCCACGTGGAGATAGCGCGTGCTCACCGTCTGCGATCGAAGCCGATTGAAGAGCGCGACCTTGGTGCCGCTGGCGATGCACAGGTCCGCGTTCTTCAGGGACTGCTTCTTCTTGGACGGCTTCGAGATCACCTTGATACGCTTGCTGTGAAAGACGCCGATGTCGTGGCCGCTGCCGTAGAACATCTTCACCGAGAGCATAAAGTGCTTGCGCTTGTCCGAGTCGGAGATGTAGAGGGTCTTCGCCGCGCAGTACTGCTTGCCGTTGTTCAGGTCCAGTTGCTGCATATCCTGATCCGAATTACCGATGCCGATGAAAGCGCACAGCTGGGCGCTCTGCTCGCTCTCGCCATCGCGCATCATTTGCTCCTGGCGCATCCTCCAGCCGTCGCCGAAGAGGTAGATGCACGGCGGCGGGCAGAAGAACCGTTTCTCGTTGCCGTACGACTTTTGCGCGACCTTGGCGTGCAGGATCACGATCACCATGTCGCTGCGGTCGCGCAGGTAACGTTCCATCGCCTCGCGGGTCAGCCGCTGGTCCTGGTGGTCGGGCCTGTAGATGCCGGGGCCGAATCGGGGATAGACGGACATGACCGAGGTCGGCGAGGGCGGAGACTGCATACTGTGCGCCATCGTTGGCAGCCCGAATTGATGTGGCATATTTAAAGGTCCGAATTGGGACTCTCTCGTGCGAAACGGAATAACAAACTTGTCGCCGTTGGGCCGCCGACCTTATATCTTCATCTTTCAAGCGCGCCGAGCACCTTCCTGGTCTCTCACCTGTGGCCAATCAAATCATCTCAGTGATACACGATACAAGTGCAAACAAAACTTGAATACATGCCGTCGGGTTGTCAGTGGTTATTTGTGCCAGTTGCTTGCAGGAAAGATGTGATAGCGTGTTAGACGAAGAATCAGGCAGAGTTCAACTTAACACACAGTTAAAACGTAAGCGAAACCAATCGGAATCGTGCAAGAGATACAACTCGAAATAGCAGTTGCAACGAAGAGCGGTAACGGGTTGGATCAAACACTGGCGAATTAAAAACAGTACGGGCTCTATTAATAAACTAAACGCCTGATTAGAATGTCTTTTTATATCTTCGTTATTGCATGCGTGTCGACATTGCACATGAACCACGCGGTGTAGCGCGCGTGAGACTACAAGGTGTAAAAACTATACGCAGAGATATCACGACTCTAAGTGCGTGATAATATATTCGCATAATATACAGTAGCGTCACCGTTAGCCAGTCGCGCGATTATGCGTACCAAACTGCATACAAATGTCTGCTCGTTTGAAGCTTTAGCGTGAGAAAGATTTTTGCTTTTTACCGGGGGGACAAGACGTAATTAACTCGAGATATCTTTCTTCGAACGAGCTATCAAGAATTGCCGGCCTCGGCACAGGAAAGAGGAAACAACCGTACAGGCACGTACACACACGCACGCCGTGAGAACCAAGCCGGGCTCATTTTTCCTGCATGAATTAAAAGCGCTCCTATCCTATTGTGGCCGCGCGGGCAGAGCTTCTGTTTTATATACGCTGGGAAAAAACGGCGTACATGTCACAATTAATAGCGCGATTCCTCAGCTCGTTAAACGAACGTTACATTAATTACGCGGGATCGGGTTTTAATTTTACAATCTTATCGACCACCGATCTCGCGAGACACGCGGCTTCTCCGTTCAACGCAGCCTCTTTATACGCTCTACGTTTGCTCCCTGTAGGCTGCTTGTCGTTCCAGTTGTAACCGTTACCGCTAATTACATTACTCTCCTCCTCCACCAGGTCGCTTCAACTATCAGTGGCATTTAAATCCTCTGGATTTAGTCGTGTCGACCTGGCCTCATCCAGTTGTGCCTCACAGCGACGGAACTCCAGGAGCCGACGATCGTTTCCCCTGGCTGGGCAAATATTTCTCCCCGACAGCAAGTGGACCAGAGTTTAGTCGTGCGATGCCGCATCGGGTCACACTTGTACAAGTTTCTCAGCGACTGTATCATGTTAACAACTGTAATTTGCTCCTGTTGCCGTCCATTTATCGATACCTCACAGTGCCACATCTCTAGTGTGTGATGTTAGATAAGAAAGTGACGTAGCGGCAAAGTTGACAAAGTAATGGGTCAGAGCACAAAGCAACATAACAGCGCAAGCGTAGCGCACAAGCTTTGGAGTGTGTCGTACTCACCTCCAATTAAATATGACGTTACATTTACGCCAAAGCTCGTGCGCTGTCTACGTTTACGCTCTAACCCTCTTAAGGCCTGTGTCCACGATGCTAGAACTTGGACCAAGTCCTAGCATCGTGGACACAGGCCTTTACGCTGTAAGCTAGACATAGGGTGCTTTCCAGTAACGTGCACAGGCGACGCTGCGTAACACAGCGAATCCTTTTGTCTTTACTATTTGCCATTATTAAACGAGGGTGAGGCAATTCTGTTACGCCGTGCCGCAGTCTCTTGCCGGCAGGTACCCGTGGTATCAGGATGCGAAGGAGGAAGAGTATCCAGCGTTCAGGACGTAGCCAAAGCTGAGTTTAGGTAATCGTAATCGTAGAATTTGCCCAATAATAGTAACCGGAATCTATGACTGCAAACAATCGCTGATTAAACACTCTAGAAATAGAATTGCAAGTGCATTATTCAGCTAAAAATGACAACTGAATTGGATTATCACGCGGCAGAGCGGCAAATGGAAAACAGCCTGTCGTACCCGTCGGCCTTGTAGCTTGTATCTCGCGTCGCGTTTTCCTTCCGTCCAACCCCCGTTTAACAAATACACCGGACACTCGCCCTGCAAAAGCGCACAGCACAACGAAGACCACCAAGTCGACACATCCATGCAGGCAGCGGAACGTGTGGCGAGGCAAAGTGGCAAACGGAAGAGAGAGTCTAAGTGAGGGAGAAACGAAGCGACAGCTGGAGAAAAGCGTTTTCCCGGTCGTGGGGAGGAAACGGGGAGGCGAGACCTGGGCCGGGAAGCCGGACGTGTACCGGCTGGCGTGGGGGACGCCGGGGTTCCGTTCCACCCGGGGCGCCTGTCACGGGCGACGGGGTTAGGCGAGGGTGCGACCGGGGCGGCGTGCGCGAGGAGACAAGGCCAGGCTTCAGTTTGTTTATTTACCTTTCGACGGCGCGCGAGCGAGGTTACGAACTGGCGGACAGGTCAAATCCCCGGGAGGCCGACTCGCCTCCTCATTGCTGGCCGGGCGTCGATATTAACCGCGTACCCGCGTGCATCCTCCAAGCTATCGATCACCCGGAGCGGCTGCCAAGTCCCGGCGATCGTTCACCGCCGTCCGTGGCGAATCCTTCCGCGTCCTCTCGCCGCTCTACTCACTCGCTCCCTCCTTCTCCGTCGACGCGCGCTCTCTCTCTCGCTCTCGCGCGCGCGCGCGCTCCCCCTAATCCATTCAAAAAACACCTGTTCACTTTCCGAATTTTCCGGACAGTCCTGCCAACCGCGGCGAGCGGGACGCGGCGGCGCCGCGGCGAGACGCGCCTCCGCGCGCAACTTCAAACCGAACGATCGGGATTCGAACCACGAGTCTTGCGGCTCTCGCGCGCGTGTCTTCCCTTGCAATTCCGCGGGATCGTGACGTGCGAGGGTCGAGCGGCGGTTTCGCGGGCAAATCTCGGCGGCGCGGTGATATAGCGGTCGTCCTTAACGCGCGACTGACGGATAACTAACTCCGGAGCAACGACGTTATTGCCGCCGCGTAAGTGGCCGCGGCATGAACGCAGCGAGCAAAGGAGAGGGGGGGCTCTCAGGCGAGAGAGCTCGGGGCCCCCGCTCTCTCTCTCTCTCTCTCTCTCTCTCTCTCTCTCTCTCTCTCTCTCTCTCTTTCTCTCTCTTTCGCTCTCACGAGAGGTTCGAAATGAACATGCCGCGGCGGTGGCAAGGCGATACGCGCCGACGTTCACTCCGATGCATGAAAGTCGCGCGCGAAAACGTCGCCGACTGCTTTCGAAACGTTCGCGAAATTTCAGCCGCGCGCTTCTTCCTCGCGACGGTCCTTTTTTTTCCCCCCGTCAATTAACGAAGTCTAACTTGACCGACGAGCTCGAGTCGTCGCGCGACAGCCTTCGAAAGACATTAGAAATAGTCAAAAAGAACGCGAGCTGTATCTTGCGAAGGCGCAATTGTTCTCGCGAAAGGATAAAATGTTTACTTAACAGAACACGAGGCAGAAACGAAGTGCGATATCAAGTACAAAGTAACACCTCGTTTTCGCCGCGCGAGGAAGACTCGCGTATCTGCACGGGCTCCGCCGGTCCGATCGTAAGATCGATCGATTTGCCTTTTAGGATCTGCGATACGGGGCGCGGAAACGGCTCGATCAATCGCCGATACGCGCGCGAGCCGATTTCGATTCGATACAAGTAGCCAGGCACCTTCGGCGGGGCTGCGTCGCGCATCCGAGAAGCGGAGCACTGCTCCTCGCACCTCTTCCTCCTCCTCCTCTCTCCCTTCAATCGCGACGGCACTCTCTTTTCTCTCTTTTCTCTCTCCCTCCCTCTCTCCCTCTCGTTTAATCGTCCACGAATATACTTCGGCGACAACACGGCGCCCGCGCGCGCAACGCGGATACGTCACTGATGCTGCAGATTCTATTGTTTTACTGTTGTACAATGGCCCGGTCGACCCGAGCGCCTCCAGCACCCTGCCCCCCTCCACCTGACCCGCGCGCCGCTCGCACTTCGCCCCTCCC